GTGTGGGAGAAGAATCAGCAATAGCCATATATGTTTAACAATAGCCATATATGTTTAAAAATAGCCATATATGTGCAGGAGAGGAATCAGCAATAGCCATATATGTTTAACAATAGCCATATATGTGTGGGAGAGGAATTAATAATAGGCATATATGTAAGGGCGAGGAATTAATAATAGCCATATATGTGTGGGAGAGGAATTAATAATAGGCATATATGTAAGAGCGAGGAATTAATAATAGCCATATATGTGTGGGAGAGGAATTAGCAATAGCCATATATGTGTGGGAGAGGAATCAATACTAGCCATATATGTGTGGGAGAGGAATTAGCAATAGCCATATATGTGTGGGAGAGGAATTAGCAATAGCCAAATATGTGTGGGAGAGGAATTGACATATATGTGTGGGAGATGAATTAACATTAGCTGTGAAATGTAGGGTTCAGACTGGGGGAGGGGGACTGGCACTAGTTGTGGGATATGGGATTCAGGGTGTAGGAGAGGAAGTAGTACTAGCCGTATGATATAGACAGACACGGCATTCTCTATCCTATAGCTGCTACTGTGTCTTGTGTCTGGATGAAGCAGTAGGAAAGGTTTGTATGCCTGTGGATCAGCATCACAGCAACTATGGCCGTTTGGTGTGCTGGCGGTTATAGACTGCGACGTAAGGGCGTCCCAACGCATTGTGCATCGAGAACACTGCCCGGCAGACGGTTGTGAGGTGCCGTATAACTCTCGCGATAGCCAATAAACCCTAAACCCTAAGAACTCTAGAAACCGTTGCCCATACCTTTTCACTCCATGCGGCCGGGAGCATCCCCATAATGTTGTCTCCCAATGTGATTGAGACCAGAGGATAAGCTGTGTGTGGGCGAGTAATGCGAATGAGAGTTGAGTACATGAGCCGCGACAGAACTTACCTGTAGCCAAACCCAAACTCGCGCGTGTGATTAATTGTTGTGCGAAGGCCCAAAATGCAGGGCCCGGGTGCAGTAAACGGAACAGGGGGTGCGATATTGGGTCAAATTGCAGCACGCCTGCGAATAGACATGCTAGGTCAGCATATGTTTGGTACGAACTAGGGGGTAGCACACAAACGTTTCCCGCAGAACCTTTATCAGGCATGGACATTTCTATAAAATATAATACATAGAGGGCACTTGTGTCTTTTTGAAAATTTGAGAGCTGATATCGCCCTAAAATACTCGGTATTTACGACATTCTGCAACATTTCTGAGAATGTTTGATCTAAATGAACATTGGACACCAGAGTCGCGGCACTACACCATGAATACCCAACCATGTCAGCGCGGAGTGACATGTGCTTTAGGGTTTTAGGGTTTAGTTTGTACCGAACTTACAGGAGGTGACGTTGACCACCGGGAACAGCATCACAATGAGTTGGATGGCATTGGCGAAGTAGTTGCGGGGGCAGGGCTCCCACCCATCGCCACAGGCGGTGTAGTCGTTCCAGTTCAGCGTCACCAGAGGATTCACGTGCTCGAATGCTAGGGCACCCAGAAGGCCTGTATTAGATGTATGTATTATTAGATGTATGTATCATAAGATGTATGTACTATTTAGCATTGGATGTATTAAATGTATATGTCTAGATCAGTGGAGATGGCTTAGATAGACACGACATACCAAATCTCTATAATTACATCACACGAGCACGCACACCTCATTGGCGTGGCAACAAACAACCCAACGGAATGGGTACAAAATACTGTTACACACTACTACTTATCTACAACACTACACAGCCAGTAGTGGCAACTCAACGCAATGGGCAAACTACTACAAGACTCGCCACAGCCACACACAACGATCAAAAAAAGCTGATACAAACAGCGGACCGTACGCCCCTGAATAGAGCACTCAAGTTCCGTTCATAGCCCGAGAAAGAAATTTAAAAAAGAAACGGTTCACGGATCCTTCTGGAGTGTCAGAGTGCGCTTACCTAGGGCAAAATACAGGACAACTGATGCGAACAGAGCGATGAAGGTCACCTGCTTTGCCGCACGCTTGTCCTGCAAGGGCTGGATGACATCCGGGATGTTGTACTGGCATGTGATAGCCAGCATGCACGGCCCAAAGCCCAGGGCAAACTTCTTCCAATCAAAGTACCCGATGTCGTCCACACGGTGCGGAACGAACTGTGAGTGGGGTGGTGTGTGGTAGGTACACCCGTTAGTTACAGCTCATTGCATGCATATATGGACTTCAACGCTTAGCAACTGCTTGACACGTGTGGAGAGGCGGACAGCCCCTGAGTAACAATCTGGTTGAGGTTTCGCTATTGATATGCAGACGTGTAGGTACATCACGGCTACAGATGTGCCAGCTCCGGTTGGAAGTAGGTAACGTGACGGCATATCGTTGTTGTGATACTCCATCACAGCCAACGTTATCGCACGGAAACCCTAACCCTAAAACCCTAACCTCCAACACCTTACACAGCACTGACTTGAGGATAGGTCGAACGCCTACGATTCTGGACATGCACGCATATACAGTATAGTACTTGTTCGTTCATATTTACCGTATGTACGTCTTGGGTTAGCTGTCTCTTACCCAACAAACAAGCGCTGTTACGTGTTTTCTTTGCGCACAGACACAATAATATGCGGGATGCAACACGTGCATATGAACAAAACGCTATACAAATATAAACGTTATACACATCTTAAGAGAGATGCAACACACCCGTATGAACAAAACGTAAAAATCTAAACGGTATACCAATCTTAGGTGAGATGCAACACACCCGTATATGAACAAAACGTTGTACAAATCTAAAAAGTATACAAATCTTAAGTGGGATGCAACACACCCGTATGAACGAAACGTTGTACGAATATTGAGTTGACCACACTTACATTTGGGTTAACGGCGATCTTCACGATCAGCGTTGTGATCATAATTACAAACGCCACAACTCGGTACAGCGACAGCAGCTTCTGCACAACGGCTTGGTCTCCCAGATCTTGTAGGCCAAGCGTGATCACGATGGTTGCAAAAATCTATTTATAGATATAAATGTTATTTATAGATATATAAGTAGTTTATAGATACAAAAGTCGGATGGGAGCACAAAATTCCTAGGCATATTTGTTTGGACTACATCATGACAGCAATGAATAGAGCATGATAGGCGATAGTATCGTATTTAAAATAAGTTCTATTTATAGATATAGATGACGGGCGGGAGCACACGGATTCGCAGGCACAATAGTTTGCAGTACAGAATGATATGCTATGACATATAATGTCAAAAGAAAGTCAGCAGCAAATAAGACCATGTTAGGCTATAGTATCGCAATAAATACAAGATCTATTTATAGATATATAAGTTATTTATAGATACAGAAATTATTAATAGCTATGAAATCCACGGACTCGCAGGCATAATAGTTTGCAGTAAGGGAAAACAGGCTATGGATACTTCTACCTACAACTATCACCCACATACCGCCATGCACACGTAGTAACTGGCCTCGCAACGGTTGCTGTGGATAGGCGCGTACACATCGCACTCAGTGTGCAGCACGTACGAGAAAAAGATGGCAGACACCGACGACGAGAAGATGGACGAGTACAGCCACAGCGTGCCCATGGCATAGCATGTCATGACCAGCTGTGTGATGTTCTGTAGGGTGCTGTAGGGGGTCAACAAATGGGAAAAGGAGAGTTCAGACGCACGATATATGTATATACAGATGTGCACAAGGTTTGTATTGTATATGTATATGTATATGTATGTGTATGTGTATGTATATGTGTATGTGTATGTGTATGTGTATGAGTATGTGTATGTGTATGTGTATGTGTACATGTATGTGTATGTGTATGAGTATGTGTATCTGTATGTGTATGTGTATGTATATGTGTATGT